TGTCCTCTTGTATTTGCTTTTTCGCTTCTTCAATGGAAAATCCCAATGCCTTGTACTTTGCTAACATAGCCAGTTTGTGATCACTTCTCGCCATGATGAGGTCTTCACAACTCTCAGCCACCTGAGATTGTGCCAGGTCCAGTTGAACTTGATCTTGCTGTAATTTGAGATTAGCCTGTTTGGCATGTTCTGCATCTTGTAAACCATCATCTCCTCCTGAAAGGTGGTGAGAGACTGTGTTGGCAAGTTTGGCCTGAGTTTTGAGCTCTTCTTGTTGTGTGTCTTGTTCGGCCTGCATGTACTTTTCCTCAAACCTCCATCGATCCTGCTCAACCTTATTTCTCTTGGCTTTTTCTTCACGTGAAGGCAGTTGAGAGGCTAAGAGGTTGTGAACATCACTCACTGAGGTTGAGGTTGACCTAGAACTTTCATTTAAATCAATATTAAGTGATCTTGCATGTTTGGCACGTCTGCCCCAAGTGCTCTGAGCTACAATATTGCTGGAGTGGTTTAAAGAAGGTGAAGCTCTTTGTTGTTGAGCAGAAGATTTAGAATCTGGATCATAAGACTGGTTGGTAAAATCCAAGTGCAGGCTGAGGTCTAAATTGTCTAAATTGTCTTGCAAAGAAGTTTTGCATTGAGATCTTTCAATTTCTCAAGTTTCATGTAATGATGATACATTGCTGATAGGCAAAAGGTTGCGTGTGTGCTTGGTTGAGGGCAGAATGTCCTCTTCCTCTAAAGTATCACCACTTTCACGCACAGATTGGGGTATGACATTAGTCCGTGTGGACATGGAAGGGTGGAGATTGTAGTAGTAAGAGCTCTTCTGGAACAAAAGCTCTGTGTCAAGAATGCATCAGTATCACATCAAAAACTGCAGGACCAGGGAGACTAAGCACATACAGTCAAACTTTGATTTTGTTGAATTCTCAATTGCCTTCCATTCTTCACTATTAGAATCATAGCCGTTTTAAAATTTCTCTTCTTGTGCTTGTTGTTTGAAATCATCCAAAATCCCTTGACCAGTTCCGTTGCAAAAGTCGTTAGCATTGGTAGAGCCTATTTCAAGGTTTTGGATTTACTTTGGAACAGTTTAGCTCAAGTCTTCCAAAAGAAGAGATCATGCCATTGACTCACCTGTGTTTCAACACCTTTCCCATCTTGGCCTGGCAAACCTTGATCAGACAAGTGCTGAGCAATTTTTTCACCAAGATCTTTTTTGCTATAGATGGTTTGCATGTCCATGTCCATCTCTCCCTTCCACCAATCATATTGAGTCCCAGTGGTGGTTGACGTTCCCAACCATTTGATTATTAAAATGATCCTACTTTTCCCTTCGGAATTGAGTTCAGCTTTCCATGAAACATTTTTTTTTGGATCAGTTGAATCGGGTGGCACAGTCGATTGTTTTTTTGCTGTATCTGAGGTCTTCCGTCTTGTGTATTTATGCTTCTTCTTCTTTGGTTCATCAGGAGTAGGTTGTAGCTTGGCAGGATCGTTCATAGTATTTGATGGTGAGTTATTCATTGGATTTAGTTGAGTCAGACTGTTAGATCGGCATAAGCTCCAGCTTGGGGTGTTCATTGAAGGAGGTATGATTGCAAGCTGAAGGGGTTGTCCAGTGATTACACCTGTTGGACTTGGAACCCAGTTTGCCGGGGATACAATTTGGAGGGGGGAGGTGGCAATGGTTGAATTAGAAACGTGCGGGGAAATTACCTGCAGGTTTGGATCAAGATGTATTGAACTTAGATACAATTGAGTTTGATTTAGAGGAGGGGGATCCACCATTGCTGTACTGCTCCTATCTTGGGGAAGTCAGCAAAGCTCATTGTTGGACTTGAAGGTGGTGAGCCCTTGTTGCCACGGGGCTTTTTGACTTATGTACATGTCCCCACACCTAGGATTCGTAATCATTGGGCTCAGGACCAAAACCCGGCACCAAGATCCTCTTTGATCATTTCCACTAAACACTTCATGCAATTTTAAATGATTGCTCTAAGACGGAGTCTTGCTACATAACTCGTTTCATCTGATCTCCAGTTACCAATGGTTTGTATTTTATTATTACTTTCTTGACCTACGATTAAACACTGACTTTTCAACTTGTTTTTTTATTTGGCAACCATTTACAGCCCTTTGAATAATTGATGACTTTGAAGAAAAAAAAACCTCGAGTTTTCGAATAAAAAACCTCGAGTATTTTTGGAAAGTGACCGAGTTTTGTCAAGAAGCTGCTGGGTTTTTCAAAAAGTCAGTGAGTTTTTTTTGGAAACCTGGCCCAGTAATTCTAAAAGAGAAAGAGCTCAATGAGTTTTTGAAAAACTTGATGAGTTTTTGAAAAACTTGATGAGTTTTTGAAAAAAACTCGCAGGTTTTTTTTGAAAACTCAAGTGTTTTCTCTTTTTCCAAAGTCATCAATTCTGCAAAGGGCTGTAGAGATGTGCGATATTCAAAAGCCAATTTTTGATCATTAATCAAAACTGTAGATTGTGAGGTGCTGATCAAGATTTATTGTGATCATCTCATTGCTCTGCAGTCACATCTATAGATCTAGAACATCTTACAAACATTCTTCAAAGGAAATCAATAGGAATTTGCTAATCAGCTCAAAAAACAAGGGAACATTCTGGGTTTTGATTGGTTTTTTTTACAGAAAGCCTGATGAAAAAGGGATGATTGTTGTAAATAGCTATATATATATGCATATAAGATTAATACAATTGTTCAAGTAAACAGGTGTCTGAAGAGGAGGGATTGAGATGAGCATGCAAATGAAAAACACATGTCTTGTTGATGAACAAGTGTAGTGTAGTGACTAGTAAAATAATTATTGTTGAATAATTGAGAGTGGTGATGGTGGTGATGGGTGAGATTTGTGGATCCTGAGCCCTCAATGCTTAATATGTATGAATAAAAGGAGGAGAGTGAGTTAAAAAAAGACAAGGTGTGTATAGAGTGGATTGATTTAGAACAAGGGGATGAATAACGTACAATCAGGATCATTCACCCCTGGGTGTGACCACCATGCGCTTGAAGCACAGCTTGAATGTGATCTGGCATTGAAGCCACAAGCTTGTTGATCTTGCTCTCTGGAATCTTGTCCCATTCAGATTTTAATGCCTCCTTCATTTGATTAATATTTTTTATTGTATACTTGGTTGAGATGGTGTCTTTCATCAGAGCCCATATATTTTCAATTGTATTGAGATCCGGGCTATTTGCTGGCCATTCAAGCTTATGAATTGAATGTTCAATCCTCCAGGCCTTTGAAACTAAGCATTGATGGACCGGGGCACCATCTTCCATCAATACAAGATTTCCAGAATTGGGGTAAGAGTCAAGGAAGTTTTGTAAGCTTTGATTGTAAACCTGTTCCACAAAGTTGGAACCAGTGCGTTTCTTTGGCTCCATGACTACCATATTAAGCTTCCAAGATCCTACAAATGCACCCCAGATCATGACTGATGTCTTCCACTTTTGAAAGTTGGAGCTAGACATCGACTATCGTATGCTTCCCCAACTTGTTGCCAAACTCGGACCTGTTGGAAATTTTTGCTTATTTCAAAAGAAGATTTGTCCGTCCAAATTACTTTCTTCCAATCCTCAACAGTCCAGTCTCGATGAATCTTAGCAAACTCAAGTTGATTGTTGATCTGTTTCTCATCAAAAAATGGCTTGCGGCGTGCAATACAAGAATGAAAGCCAAGTTTATGTGTCTCGCTCCGGACTATGGGTTCGCTAGCTTTGATTGACAATTGATTGGTGATTTGGCAGAGAGGAGCTTGTCTAGCTTGTTCAAGTATATGTCTGAGTTCTTCAACATCTTCTTTTGAAAATTTTGGCTTCTGCCCAGGAGCTTTTGATGCTGATAATTTGTTATGCTTTTTGAATGTAGAGATGATTGTATAAACAGTTCTTCTGGGATGGCCAAGGTGTGTTGCTATCTTTGTTGCTGCAGCCCCAGCCTCGGCATTCCAATAATTCTTCCTCTCTTGGAATATGTCAAGGTACGAGTCTTCATGCTTGGAAAGATTGAGGAGCGGATGATTCAATAGTCAGCAGTGATGTGACAAGATTTCTGCGCATAGAAAAAGCCCCGGTGCCGCTGCAGAACTTGAGTGATTACATAAACCACTTGGAGGGTACTGTACATAAAAGTCTGCAAGTTTTGTACAACTTCTGTGCAAGATGTCAAAAGAATTCTTGTAGAAAACTTGCACAAATTTTTGCACAGGTTTGAGAACCATAATTGGTGGCGATCCTTGACTGTTGAAGCAAGATTTTGGGCCGATGTATCCGATGGACCGTGACCGTGACTGTGACCGTGACCGCCACTGGCCAGTGACAAGTGTCAGTGTAAATTCCAATTTGGATATGTGCCTCCTCCGCTTGCTTTCAAACTTTACGTCATCCTCATCATTTCCAGTCTCTTGGCTCAGGTTGTGGGCGCGCTGTTAATTTTGTAGGCGCGCCGAGGCGCCACTTGGCGCGCCCGGCGCGTTTTCTCACAAAAAAATTGTAGACAACCAAAATGGTGTTTGTAAATTGTCATGTAGTCTACGTTTGTATTGCTAGAGCCATCTACCACCACAAACTTACCTTTTGGAGGAGAGAAAAGCCAAAAAGAGCTGTCTTCAAAGCTCACAGCAAGGACCCAGGTCTCCAATATTGGTGACAGGACGTAGATCAACACCAAAGATCCGGTGCGATGTTTGGTAAGGCGCGCCGAGCCCAATTTTGGGGATTTCTTTGACGCCTTGGCGCGCCGCGGCGCGCTCACAACCTGACTCTTGGCCCATTGTTTGTTGTTTTGGATACACTACAAGAGTCTTGATTTCGCCTGCTCAACACGAAGTTTGAGGGGATAGGCTCGTCTTGATTGAACCGTCAAGTTGTCTGGCATTGATCTATACCTCAATTACATATAGCTTCTCAGCTCTCTCCTCTAGTTTGATTTCCTTGAAGATACGGCCAGCAATTGCACGTCTACCAAGATGACATCCTCTTGTTTCACAGCTCAGCTTGCGCTCTGGCACGAGATCGTCTCTAAATTTCACGAGGAGACCAAGCCAGTGAACCAGCATCTCGATTTTATTCGGAAGCGTTTCGATGAACTTGACTCGGAAGGTTTCATTTGGTCCAAACAATCAATCCTTGGGATCTTTCTTCAACTCGGTCTATCAGAAAGCCCTATTGACTCTTGCGCATCTGTCAGCCAAATACCCGAATCCCATGTTCACGGAAAGGGTAAAATTCCATTTGATAGAGTTGAAGAAGATATCGGAGACAAGGGACTGCGAAACAAATCGCATGCTGTAGGTCTCATGGATCTACCGATCGAAGTCTTTAACAACATACTTGAAGCGCTTGATTTCCTGGCTAAGTTCGAAGAATCGCAAATAACATCCCAAAAGCAATCAGGCCAGGTGATTATCAGTGACTATCTAGGTCATCGAGAGCGATATACGACCTACTTGCACCGAAATTCACCAATCTTGAATACTTTTCAAACCTTTTCGCTGACTTCGCGTGAGATATACAGACGTTGTGAACCATGGCTATGGCGAGTGAGTCATCTGCAGATTGACGGTTTAAGGTAGCAAAAATTTCTAATCGTGTTCAAACGCTCGTCATGCTCTTCAGAAACTAGAGCTCCCTTCTAGCCTACCAGCGCCAATAGATCTATGGACAGGAGATATCCTCCTCAAACGAGGTTCTCATGTTCGTTCTCTAGCACTCACACTCTCCGACAACTGCAAGAAACCTCCTGGCGAATTCAGCTATGACCCCTTTTACGATAATCTAATACTTGAGGACGAACATGTCCCTCAGCCAATCTCACCACAGAATGTAAGAGATTTGATCATTCGGTGCCCAAACATTTCTACGCTGGATCTTCGTTATGAATATGACGAAGACAATGAAGACGTGGGTAGAACAAATGCTTTCCTATCAGATCTAGTTCCACTCTTATCAAGTCTTAAACAACTCCAGAACCTGGAATTAGATGGTAGACACAACACAACAATGATGACAGACTTTCCGGCGAAAGTTGTTGGTAGTCTACCATTGCTCAAGTCGCTTGCAATCTGGGTACCTACATCATCTGGAGATTCCCAAAAAGTTGGTGATGCGTCCTTGGGATTCAATCTATCCAAACTTCAATTTCTATCACGACTGGAATTGTTCTCCAATGAAGATATAGATGAAAAATGGTGCCTCCATGATTGGCCAAGGACAATCACATATCTTGAACTTAGTAGATGTCGTCAATTATCATTCAGTTCGGCACTCAGGATCATCCACCACATTTCACCTTACCTGACCACACTCAAGCTTAACACCAACGAGCAAGATGATAACAGCTTTGAAATCGACTCTACCTGGGATCCTCCAAGTCATCTAGGGTTTCCATTTCTAACCACCCTGGAGCTTTCTACTCGCGAGCCTCGTTCTCTGCTCAGCTTTCGAGAATGTAAAACTTTACTCAATCTTGAATGGCACTGTACGACATTAGAACATTGCAGGTCCCTGGAGGCAATCCTATGGAAAGCTACCTGGCCTCATCTCAAGGAACTGAATGCGTGCATTTACCACCTTTCAAGGCTGTCTCAAGTTCAATATCAAGAATGGAACGATCGATTAGTTTCGGTGGGAACATTTTGCAAAAAATACGATGTGAACTCGGTCTTACGCGCGCTCGCAGCTAGTTGATTTGAATTTTGTGAGCAAATTCGAGGTCTTATGACAGAGTTTTGTATTTTCCGATCCAAGATTCATTAATGTCCATTAGGAGTTTCACATGAGATGACTTTTCCGATACTCAAGTTGCCTTTTTTGTGTAAGTACTGTCAAACCTGAGTTAATGAACACATGTTAGATTAAACTTTGCTACTTAACCTTCTCCTTTTCATTCTATATATGATAATTGTACTCTTCTTGATCACTGCTTCAAAATTGTGCATCAACTCGATCTCTCCAGATTTCTTAAGCATCAAAGACCATGAAAGTGGGACAAACTCCTGGTATTCAATTATGTGTGACTTATCAACGTTCAGGCAGGCTAAAACACTTATACAGAGTTCTCAAAATGTAAAACCAATATGGACCATCAAGACAAACCTCAGATTTCACAAGTTTGTCTTAAATTCAAGATTATTTAGTTCTTTGTTGAATTGCTCCTCCCTTATTTCTTTCTGCAAACTGTTTACTGCAACTCATACAATATTCTCAGGATTGCCCTTTGGAGACCTAAAGTTGAGAAAGATGATGGTATGACTGATTTTTGGTATCCAGTCTAGAAAGTACTTGGGATGATTTGTCTGCGTAGTGAGGTAGTGAATTCACAATCAAAGAGAGTTTTCAGACTTGCACAAAGAACACATACTTACAGGCCAAATGGTGAGAATAATTTTGTAGTTTGGGAAACCTCCAATACATTTCTGTTTCAATTTTCAGGATGTTTGTAAAGCGCATTTAAAGATATATGGTGGAATTGGAGTATTTTTCCCATCTAGAGTAATCACTTACAACTTCTCATTTCAACCAAGCAAGATTTTATCCAATATAATAACAAATAAAGAGGCATAAGCTTAAAAGTGACTTTGAAAAGAATATGGACCTGGGAGATGCATGTCAGCAAAATCACTGGACATCCTTGTGAGATATAAGTTTGGTGTAGAGTTCAAAGTACAAGAGCATGTTCTTGATAACAAGGCCTGAACTGGCACGGTAGTCAATAGTTCAACTTGGATGGATTATCACTGGGAAGATGGGCTGAGAAATGAGGAAATAGCAATACTCTTGTTATGTGGTAACCAATTTGCAGTGATTGCTCAAATTACTAGTAACCTCACAGTGGGCTTCCACTTGGTGTAATATGTGATACAAACTGCACCTTAACACCACTATAAAAAACACCAATATCATTGGTAACATACAACAGTTTTTGAGTTTGTAACTGTTGGGAAGTTTTCTATGAAGCTATGTATCTTTTGAAAATAAAATATGATTAAAACAAGATACAATCTTTGAAAGAATCAGATATGAGAAACTAAAACATGAAAGAGTCTTCTAAGATGAAACAAAGATCATTTATAGGAAGTAGACATCAGAACATATGAACACAAAAACTCAAAGATTTGAAGCACAATTTCATTTTTTTACAATGCTAAAATTTTATTTTAATTTTTCCCAAAAGAATTTACCAATCCAACAATCAACAATAGGTCTTCAAAAAATTGATCACTATGATTTCAATTCTTAAAACCTAAAGTTAAACTTGTCAAAAGTATAGAGATTTTCTAAACAAATCAAATCAATGTTGGTCAGTTTTATGATACCCATTGATAAATAAAATAAACAATGAACTTGGTTACTAACCAGCTCAAGATCTTGAAGAAATTTATCAAATTGTGTATATGTATGAATTTTTATTGATTGACAAACAGTTGATAAAAGGTTTTGAAAAACCGGTTCATCTTTAGTATAAAGACATAAACTTAAATTCTTATCATTATTTTTAATTGTAATGAGGTGTAAAATATATTCAACTTTTGGATCTGAAGTCGGTAGTTCATCTGAATCTTTTTCCATCAGTTTCAGAGGGCCAAACATACGCATAATTAGATTTGATAATGGGATTTGCCTTGATCTGAGATCCATTCTTGTTAGTTTGGAAAGATCTTGCACAATGTGACCATCAATTACTCCTTTTGAAATTAGTTGGTCCTCTAGAAGTTTCCTGATTTGTGGCATAACAAGTTGTAATCCTGTTTTCATTCAAATCACACTTTATATCAATATACTATCTCAATTTTAAAAAATGTCTTTGGATTTACCTTTTTCCTCAATGTCATCTTTAAGATCCTTTGGATTTTCATTTTTGGGTTCCAAGTTAGTATAGAATATCCTCAACATCTGAAAAATAAGTGTTGTACTTTCGTGGTGTTCATTGAGGTATCTATTCACAATTTCCCTTACGTTAGGATACATGACACATGTTAAATTCAAGACTCTGAATAAGTTTCCTTTATCAGTCAATAAAAGGTTAGGTGAGCATAAGCTCTGCAGAATGGCGTAGACTTGTTGAACTTTTAATTCTTTCTTTGCACTAAGAGTCCAGACCACTGTATCGAGTTCAGGAACCTTTTTATGCAAAAGATCAATATAAAGTCTACGAAATGTTTCAGCATAAGCTTCATTTCTTTGAACAAAGCTTCTGATTTCCACCCTGCTTAAACCATCATGTCGTTCCATATGAAGAAGTAGGTGAAAGCTGATCCTCTTTTGCATGTGTGTACCACTTCCATCCATCAATTGTTCGATATACAGAAATAGGTGTTCTAAGATTGTTGAGACTTCTTCTTTTCCGAAAGGAGTTCCTAGCTTGATAAAATACGGGATAAGATGGGCTAAGTAGTCGAGTTTGGGGTTCGTCGTATACGTTTTGATATACTTTTTGATTGATAACAGAGTTGATGCTCTTTCGATTCCCTCCCACATTGCTATTTCGAAAATAATGTAAGCAGCCAGAATTGAAAAAACAAACAGAGGAACATTTCTCTCACCATTGGCTGATATAGAATCCCTGCTGCCATATACCAACACCTTTTGAATAAAGCTCGCAAGTCGCGGACCTTTAAACCATCAAACATTTCAAGGATCAAGCATCAGTTCCCAAATTTCGGAAGAAGATATGAATTTTTTTGGCTGAGCTTCACCATGAAAGATATCCGACTCTAATTCTGCCCGGGAAGGAATAAGACTATCCAGATCAGTGGGATCGAATTTCTTGTTGTCTACCTCATCTTTAGGTGCAAGATATGAAAGTATTCCAATAACCCATAACCTTGACGCTGTATGCAATCCTTCACCATCCAATAAATCAGTGGCTAGATTAATAACTCTTCGTTTTTGAATTGTGATAGCTTCACTATGTTTCGAATTCATATCAAAATCATGTCCTAATCTCAAGACTTCATTCACAAATTCTTTAAGCTGAGGTCCACGAGAACTCTCTTCTTGTTGAAAAAAAACAGTATGAGCAACTTGACAATACATTAACCATGTCTTTTTACTTCCAGTAGGTAATTGTGCTCCAACTTCTGTTTTTGATTTCTTTGATTTTTTCTTCCATAAGTTTTGAGTTAAAATTCTTTTTTTAGAACCTTGCTTGGTCATCGTAGAAGTTGAACCCTCACCATCTTCAATAATCAAGCAATCGAAATCCTGGCTCATTTGTGAAAAATGTGGATTGTTCACAAGTGGCTTGAGTTCTTCGTCACCAAGACCGACAGGCGAAGAAACTAATGAAGGAACGATCTTCAAAATTATATAAAGTGAAATAACCCATCTCGAGATCATCTTCTTGAGCTAATCAATGTATTGAAGTATGGATGACTTGGTATGTTTTTGATCTATTGTTGAAGTATAAATGCTGAGGATCCGGATTCCAATCACTCTGAAATGTTCTTTCACCTATCTTGAAATGTCTACCAGAACCGCAGACCACCAAAAGATCCTCAGAATAAAACCTGGGTGAGTGATAAAGATTCGATCTGACAAACGAATTTGAAGTTTTTCTGATGTTATAAGATATTCATAAACCCTTGATTCTGTTTCACTCAAATGCTTTCAGTAAATATCTTGCTATCAATCATGAAGAGAAATGGCGAAACTACGCCTGAATCACACGTCTGTACACAAGATGTGACTCGTACCGCTCCGAAAAGTCCAACGTCCTGCGAATACGCAGCTTTGTTTCCAGGCGATGATGGGTGTTCAGGTGACCGCAGCGGTACAAAACCTCAATGTCTCCGTCCATTGTGGTATCAAAGCGAGTACATAACAAGTATTTGCTGGGACATCCCGATCATAGTGTTCGATAGTCTACGCAAAATCTAATTTCTATTACATCACTTAAAGTGATGCTCCTACTAAACCCTCATTAAGCACTACGTACACACATCCAACATTGTCTAGAATGAAAAAGTAAGATGCAGACTGCATATATACACCATTTAAACCTTTTGATATAAAAAACCTCATCACTAAAACTATCTGTAAACCAAATCAATATAATCAAATGATTCATAATTCCAAAAAAAAAACTTTCATAAGAAATATCGAAAACTTCAAAAAAAAAGAAAAAAAAGTACCATGCAAAGATCAAAAATAAAGAGATATAAATCAAAATTATACAAGTTAAACCAAAGAAAACCCCATCTACTTTCCGTCCCCTCCCGAAAAACAAACCAAATGCAAACAAATAACCTATCATTTACAGAACAAATGCATTGATAAATTAATTTCAAAAGTAAAAGAAATCTAATAATAATAAAAAAATGATCAAAAAGGTTTCATAAATTTGTGATGATGATAGATGAAGTCTTAATAAATAGATGTGTAGAGTAGAAAAAAAACCATAAGAATGCAAGATGAAGATCAAAAGGACCAAAAAATAAAAATAAAAAAAAGACCTAAAGAAATTAAAATTGTCAATTGGTTATGTAAAATAAAAATAAAGTAATCTAAATAAATCGATTTTAAGCTTTCCTAGAAACCTAAAAAGAAAAAAACCAGTTCAATAAACTTTAAACCAATACCCAATTACGGAATCCAACATAACAAAAAAGAAACCCCAAAAAAGCAAGAAAGGATGACTAACCTTATTAAAGATCCTAAACAAACTAACCACCAATACTAAAGAATAAGAAGCCAAACCCAAAAAGATCAAACAAACCAAACCAGCTTGAAGTTCACAAACATGAATGAGTTTCTGTCGGTCTTTTTGAAAGAACTGATGATCTTCAATTCCAGTAATACAACCTAAATCGGATGTTAGACCGTTATCGAAGGAGATCGCTAAAGCTGCTGACCATAATGAAATCGAAACTAATTCTGATAAAGTATGAAACATTTTCCAACTAACACTCCAGATTCCTATTGGTGCACCAAAATACTATTAAAAACCGACCAAAAAAAATCAATCAATCAATCAAAAAGTCGGAAGACTTAAATCGAAACATCAAAAGATCACTTACTTCAAAATAAATCGAAAAAAGGATATGTAACATACTACAAGGAGCAATGACAATAATATAAATCGTTGAATTACCAATCAAACCACTCAACCCAAGTCGTTCTTCTACTTTTCTAATCTTCACACAAAGAGCCAAACTAACAGAAATAAAAATAAAATTAAAGATTCGTAAGATGAAAGGAGCCGTTGGATGGTTTAATAAATAATAGACAATCTTTCTTTTTTTAGGATCTTGATGTTCTTCAATTTGAGGATACAATCCAGTTGAATGATTAGTAGGTAATCCATTGGTTGATGAACCTTGGATATAAGTGGTCGACATCTTTCTTGAGAAGGCAGATAATGGGAAATCTCCTTGATGTGCTCTGTAATCGTTGAATGGATCTTCAAATGGGATTCCATGATGAGGTCTCGAGAACGGTTGCCAAGGCGTGTTCCAACCAGGAGTTTGAGCATGATGAGACGTATAATTCGAATCGATGCCTCCAGTCATACTTGAATCTTGATCGTTCCTAACTTCAATCATTTGTTTAGGTGTACTAGGTGTCATAGATGTCCATTGGTTGACTCCTCCGATATTCACTCCTCCTCTTTGGATATATGATTCTACTTTTTTTCTATACTTGGTGGGTAAGGTAAATTGCCACCATCTATCATCACCAGTTGATTGTAAGTTATTAGTTTGATTAGGTTCAGGTTCATTCGAATCGGTAGGTACTCCTTCATCTGTTAATTTTCGTTTTTTAGTCACTCCATATGATTTGAAACGTTGGATCACAGGACTGATATCAATCGAAGAAGTAAGTCTTCCAGTATGCATCCGATTCATTTGTCCATTCAAACCTGTCCCTTCTGCTCCTAGGGAGTTTTGTCGATTGTTCAGTAATTCAGGATTCGTTCTAGGACTAAACATATCATCTTGAGAAATCGAACGTAACAAAGTCGGACGTTTCTTCACATTCATCGCATTCATTTCCAGCTTATCTAAACCTGACGGGTCTTTAAAAAACTCATGAGGTCCTACCAAACTTTCTTTACCTTTAGTATGACAAGGTGAAATTGAAGAAGGAATCCTAAACGGTTTAGGTTTCACTCGAGGATGTGGTTTTTTAGGTGTGATGGATAAATCAGATGAAAGATCAGTAAACGAAGGTGAATTACATCTAAAGAATCCTCCAGGTGAATCTGATGCAACGAGTGTAGTCGAACAAGAAGGTCTTGATAATAATTTTTTATTTCTTGTTGCTTGTGATTGTGGTTGTGATGATGAAGATGTTGAACTTGATTCTGGTTTAGATGTAAATGTATTGGTGGATGAAATGTGATGGATTGTAGATCGATTTGATGTCGATTCAAATAATTCATCATCATCTTCATTACTCTTTGCCCAAGCTAAACCCCAACCGAAACTCAAAAAATAAGTATAATGAAAGGATAAGAAAGTCAAAAAGGAGAAAACGTACGAGGGAGTGTGTTAACTTTTGCTCTACCACTTGGAACGATAGTTTTTCGAGTACCATTAGAAGAAGCAGGAGAAGTCGGAGTAGTTTTGATTGAAGAATGAGTCAAATGAGATTGAATGGTACTTTGATTTGAAGGTTGACGTTGATGATGTTGATGAAGTAAAGGAGTAGGTGAATTGATAATTTGACTTGAATAACTCATTGAAGGTACAGGAGAAGATGGATTTCCAAAGAAACTTTGAGTAGAAGGTCGTCTGCTATGATTCTGATGAGAAGAATCGGTTGAATGAAGTTGATGTTCATTTGAAGTATAATCAAATAATAATGAATTCCTTTGATTGATAGATTGGATTGAAGATTGTACATTTTGAGTTTGATTTGATGATGAAGAGAATGGAATCTGATTTGAAGCTTGAGATGATAAGTTAATGAGATGATGAGATGGTGATAGTTCTTTTTCTTTTTCTTTTTCTTGCTGAGCTTGTTCATTCATGTTGTTGGAGTGGTCAAGACCTCACTGATTATGTAAGAACTTCTCAACCTTTGACTCTTTTCTCTTTCAACTTTCACATCACAATCACATTCACTTTCAAATGTCACACTCCACAATCTCATTCTTCATCCCAGAATACTCCTGTACACTACAACATTTTCCCAGTTCCCAGTTCCCATCGACATGATAAAAGATTGTAACACTTCTTCAAAATGAAACTTTTCAAGAAATATGATTTATACATACGCTTACATCTAATGCTGACATGTTTGGAGCTTGATGAAAGGTGCTAGGATCATATTTACATTGATTTTTTCTACAAATTGAATATACAGCCATTCCGATATTGCTTGTCGCACCTTTTTGAAAAGAAAAAGTTTGTGAGCTCGAAACCTAAGTTTTAACCGGTTAAAACCTGAAGTTTGGCTGTATTGCCTTGAATTACAGCTGAGTTTGAAGTTTTATCGAGTAAAAACTTAGGTTTCAACTTTTCTTTTTCAAAACGGAGCGACAAGCAATATCGGAATGGCTGTATGTAGTTATCAGCATTCAATCTCAAATCAAAAAATGATGAAAAGTCAGGTAACTTTTGTAATTGCACGTCCAGCAAACGTTTGAGATCAACTATCATCAATCTCTGCGTGTGCGAATTACAAGCTCTTTATAACCTCAAGGCCTGAACTCGTTTGATCCCTTCCCTTTTGGTTTCTTATCAGTTATTGATACTATCTTACTACTACCTAAGATTTTTAGTTAATCTACAGCTCTACTTATATATATGGACCCCACTATTTAGAGCCCTCGGAGCGGTATCCGGCGCCCCCTCTCGGGTCGGACACCAGGCTACAAACAAATCAGGCGCCCCTTTTTAGAAAGAGGGGCTCCCTATTGGGGCTCCCACATTATTTATTTCATCTCCGTTATCCTCCATTGTTGCTCGAAGAATTTACTCTTTTGCATGTACCCGGCATACCCTTAACCTTAAAGGAACTATCTGAAGTGAGCAAAGTACAAGACTGAGCCATTGTCACTTTGATGATAGTGCGATGAGCTGAGCTCGATAAGCACACAAGACCGTATGCATTGGCATGAAGATATCTTAAATTAACAGCATAGATAGACATAGGGGTTTCATACAAGGATATTGGTCATACAACATAAAATGATGCATAGGTAGATGACAGATCCTATTGACTGGAGTAAAGAGATATGAAGCAAAAAAAGGAGATCGTTGTCGCCTTGAATATGTTAGCTCAACTCTACTCCTTTGAGTTCAAATTGAGACTGTCCGAATCAAAAAAGAATATATCAAGAAACGTTTTCAAGCTGACATCTGTCTTGTATGAGTAAATTTGATGACTCATTCAGCTGGGCCCTTGAGATTGATATCATATTCCTGAAAAACAAGTGCAGAATATCAGTATAAGCAATGATTTGGTGATATATACAAATGAAACTGTTTGACAAACCAGATTTTTTCATCGCAAGTTGATTGGTGAGCGAGACAAGATTGAACACCATACGGTTCAAGAGCTTTGATTGATTAATGATCAAGAACTTCAACTTCAGGATCATCAAGTTGTGGGTTTTGCTTTCAAGCCGTCTCGTTCAAAAGGCCTTCTTGAGATTTGATCTAGCGGGATTGCACAGATATTTTCGAATCTTATCAAACTGGTTTCTTGTGTCTATAAATGTGAGTTAGATTTTCATGCTACTCATCCCAAATCCAACAGATACACTCCATTCTCTGTGAAAAGACTTGATGTCACATAGGTGTTGATCAATCTTGAATCTTCATTGCTGCAATCCTTCTTTTTCCATGTTTTGATTCTCAAATTTTAAGGTTGTTGCTACAAGGCTATTGGAATGAAGGCGTGCGATTGTTGTTGTGATAGTGTAACTTATCATGGTAAGTTGATGAGCGTGATTCAAGAGAGTCAGAGGTTGTTGGCATGTGTATGAAGTGGTTCAAGGTTGTTGGTGTCGGTTTGAAGTTTGGAGATGTGATCAGTGCAAAGAGGGAACAGGGAAAAAGTAAACTCCGACATGGGAAAAGAGTTCGAGATAGGGGAGAGGGGACCTGTCACCTCCTACATGTGTATATGCGTATGCACTACTTTCATGAGAGTCAAGGGGCCCAATGTCCGTGCAGTCATGGGGCCGGTCTGGGCACAAAAGAACTTTGAAGCCCTTTCATTTGTTTCAGTGATCTTTGTTGCCCCATCATGGGTGAGGGGGCATCAAAAAAGTAAATTAAGGGCGCATATGAGAAGTTTTGCCCGCTTAAGGGAGCCCTCAAGGTCCGACTGTGCGAAATATAGGCTAAAAACAGTCGGGTGTGATCGGGTCACGCGGGTTTTGGTGAAAACCCGGGGGGCTCCGGATATCAGCCGAGGGGGCGATAAATAGTGGGATCCATATATATATCAGTTCCAGCAACAAACAGTCTCTTTGGTGGGTAATTTTTTGATCTTTGCTATGATTCTTCTCTTTCTGCCTATCGCTCTACTATACATCAAGAGTCTTTCATTTGTTAGGCAGTCATTATATATAAAATTGCCTGAAACCCCTGATATTCTTGTCCTGAGGATTTTCTCAGGACTATGATATACCCTATCTATCACTGCTGATCCAAAAAGATAATAGTGTCCTGTCAATCCCTCTATAGTTTATTTATCTCAGTAAACCTTTCATGCCTTTCCTGTACTTGATTCCTGATCTATCATCTTGGTCAGAGGTTTTATAGATCATCCAGGTTAGGTGCTGACATTCATCTCTATATATTTAACAGTCTCTCCAAGATGAGATTCCGACAGATCTTTGTGACCATCAATATGTTGATGGACCACACTACTTCTAGTCCTCTCATCCCTCAACTTGATATGTCCGCCTCCGCCAACCCAAGTAAAATAGCCAGCCAAGTAGCTTCTGGATCAAACGGTGTGGTCTACCCAGCTACCACTCAACAATACAATCAGAAGCTGGAAGAGGCAGCCCAAGTTAAAGCAATGGCAGAGAAGACTTATGGTCCTCCATCTTATCCCATCCATCGTGATAGGAAGATGCAGGAGTTGCAGTACGTTAATGGACCACCAGGATCTGTACCGTCAACTCCAGAACAAATGACACAAATTTCAAATGCCGCTCCGACAGACTCCAAGAGCCATGGCTTTGACAATCTCAAGGTCGTAGTGCCATTATGTATAGTAGGATTTTTGGTAGCAATCTTAGGACCTGTCTATATGTGGCATGTATTAGATTGCTTTGAGGATAAAGAATCTGCCACAGAGAAGGCGTACGAGACCCCATCTTGAATTTATCATCACAAATATCTCAACTAAAATTTCTTTCAATTTTCTTTTCAGGGCAATGGAAAGAGATGTGGAAGTTGCACGTGTTGGCAAGTAAACTGAGACACCCCAAGAAAATGGAAGACTTGAATCAAAAAAGGGGAATATGACAACTTCCAAACCCCCAATCTTCTACCACAAAACCTTATAAGCTTGAATTATCTTTGGTAAGTGATTCTTTCTTCACCATCTTCATCTTGTTTTGAGATTCAAGATTTAGTTTTGTCTGCTTTGTCAGTTTGAATGTTTTTGGTAACTCACTCCTTCTGTACCAATTTCATCTTATTTTGTGGTTCAAAAGTTTCAATATATTCTGCTCTGTCAAAGCTCTATAAGATTCAATGTTTTTTTGGTAATTCACTCCTTGTATACCAATTTCATCATAACTTGAAATCTCATCTTTTCATGACAATTCATGTTGTAAGCCCTTGCCACATATTCTCACAGCGTACATCATCATCTATAATAGTTCATCACATTGTATGGTGCGGTAGAGGGAGATGATTTTTGTAAGGAAACTCTGGTTGAATAGTACACAGAGCCACAGCACGCAAGATCACAAGCACCCAAAAGGATGCTTGATATCTTTAAAGATACCCAAGTTACTGGGCTTCACAATATTTCGTTGGCTTAAAATTCAAAGAGGCTTCAAAGCCAAAAAAACCATGGTCATTTGGAGTGCTTTTGCACCTAAATTCCCCAGCATAGACAACCAACACATATATATCGAAGCAATATTTGCTATGGTGCACAAAGAATTTGATTCACGCATTGAATAATGCTAACAGTAGGAACCTTATAAGCAAATAGTGATCAGCAACTTGTGCCTTCTGGGATGTCTCCCCCCCATTCAATACGCCAGAGGGCGCATTTGATGAATAAGGTGGTCACATATATGCTGCTTAAGTCGCCTGTGCGATCGCTTCCAGAAAACGGCGTGCGCCGGCCTTGTGAAAAGCTGAATTATCAGCTTACAGGAGCAGAAATCGAGTCTCATTGGGTTATTTCTAACGTTTTACCTTGGAGACCTGCGGTGAAAACTTGGTTCATGAAACAGCAAGAACAACGGGAGGGTGAGACGTGTTGAGGTTGATGAAAAGTGCTAGAAGAATATTGACATTGAAATTCGTATAAAGTTTAAGCAGCCGATCTTAAATCAAAAACTGAAGAAAGGTCAGATTGATTTTGTACTTTCACATTAAAAGTATGAGATCAACTATAATCAATTTATATGTGTGCGTGAAGTAAAAGCTGTCTTTTGCTTTACCTTGAGAACAATGTTTCAGTGGCTTCAGACCTGCTCGAGGAGAGAGAGTTACAGTCAGTTTAGAAAAGCTTGTCGCCAATTCCCCGCCAATTTGCTCGAGTTTTGCGGGCAAACTTGGTCAAGCTTTTATGAATATTTTCACGATTATAGAGGTCACTGATTCCACACTTAGGAAGATGTTCTCTAGGCCTGAACTCGCCTGATTCCTTTCCTTTTGACCTCTCACCAGTCAGTAATACATCCTTTTACGGCTTTTCCTGCTTCAAGGTCTTAGTCGATTCATAGTCATTGAAGGTACAAGAATCTTTGCTGGTGGGTGCTTTTGATCTGTCTCATATTCTGTTCTGTTTTGCTATCTCTGTGCCATACACCAAGAGCATTCCACTGGTCATGTAGAGAGTCATGAGAGATGTAACCTTAAATCTTCAATATATTTTTTGCTTCACAAATTCCCAGGAACCTGTATCCAGTTGCATCCAGTTGATCCAAAGATATGACAATCTCCTATCCCTGTAGTTTATTTGTCTCAGTAAACTTTCACTCCCCTTCCCTTCTTTGATTTCTCAGTTTTGATATCGGTCGAAGTCTTCATGAAGTATTACTGTTGCTGATACTGATATCTACCTACATATTTAACAGCCACCTGAAGATGAAATTCGGTCAGATTTTCCTTGGCCTCAATATGTTGATGGATCACACTGCTTCTGGTTCTATAATCCCTCAACTTGATGTTGCTAGCTCCACTAAACACGCTGAATTAGCTGGCCAATCAGCTTTCGGATCAAGCGATGTGGTCTACCCACTTACCACTCAACAATACAATCAAAAGATGGCAGAGGCAGCCCAAATTCAAGCGCAGGCAGAAAAGGATTTTGGGCCTCAATCCGCTAACAGCCTTCGACATAGAAAAATTGCACAAGTCGTGTATGCACCACCACCAGTACAAAACATGGATGTCAAAGAAATTGAAAAGCCTAAGCAAGCCACTCCTAAAGGTTATCCACCCTGGTTGCTACCAGTTTTTGTACCTGTTGCGGTTGTTGGAGCTTTTGTTGTTGCTTTTTCCTTGGTGTACTGGCTGGAAAGGGTGTCCAAAACCACGTATGAGGCCCTATCTCAAATCGGTCCCCACATATCTCCTAACTGATATTTCTTTCATTTGTTTTTCACAGAGATTCAGAATCAGATGAACCGAACGAAGGCTTATCAGTACATGTCATCTGAAGCACCCCATGACTTGTATCACAGAAGAGTGGATGGAAGTTTTCAGGCCTCAGACTTGGGGTCACACTTTATAAGATTGGATATTTTCGGGATTTCACTCTTTCTTTAACAATTTTATCTTATTTTACAATCTATTTAAACACTTTATAAATCCTTCGCAGACTTCTATAACATCGAATGTTTTTCGTAATTCACTGCTCCTATACCACTTTCATCTTATCTTGAGATCCGAACTTTTCAGTATAATCTACGTCATGAGGCCTCACTATATAGATTTATTTTTGTGAAAGCATTCATCATCATATTTGTTCGTTCATCATGGAATACATTAGGCGGTGAAGGATATGATTTTTGGAAGGAAACTGCTGCTGATAAGTGTCCCGGAACTTATAAAGATCATGCAAGCTTGAGCTCCAGCGCTGAGGACCCTATACAGCAAATGAGATACCAGAAAAAATTGGGCCCTTCATATAAGCCTCATATGTAGTACGAGTTAATGTGCGCAGAACCTTAAACCATAGAGGAGTCTAACAAACAGAGGGCAACCTCCGGAAGTCGAAGAGCCTGGACGTCCTACTTTGGGAGAACATCGGCATCGATGGCTTCTAAAGTGTAATCCTGGGTCTGAAGCGGCCCCACCTCCTCTCCAAATGCCCTTGCTCTTATACCTGGAGAAGTCTTATACAGAGTCGCAAGACACAGAATCACAATCGCTAGAAAAAGGATACTTGAGATCTTTGAGGAAATCCCAGTATGTGCATTTGCATGTACACTGGGTTTCGCGTTATATTATTCATGCGCAACCCGTACGGGCTTCAAGATCAAACACAGTTGACTGGTGCAAAGGGCTTTTGCACCTAAGACCTACAGCATCATGGAAAACCCCGAGAGTGAAGCAAGATTTGCTATGGTGCAAAAAGAGTTCATTTCACATAGTCATTTATGCTAGCAATAGGAAAATCTATTGACAAAGAGAAATCGACAACTTGTAACTTCGGTGATGTGTCTAGCCCCATTCGATACGCTAGAAACCACATTTGATGAGCAGGCTGGTTACAGCCATCCTTCATGAGCTGTCTGAGCGCTCGCTTTCAGAGAATGTTGTGCACGAGACTTGTGAAAAGACACATCATCAGCTTGTAAAAAGGAGTGATTGAGTGTCGTTGGGTCATCCCTATTTGGTGTACCTGATCGCTTCCCCAGTGTTTTCCTTCGGAGATCAGGTGCAGTAAAAACTCAGTTTATACAGCAAATACATTGTGATTCAGTCTCGACGAAAGAGTGAAGGGCTGATAGTACAGGTCGATTGTTGATGTTTTCATTGCTTGGCAAATGTGACCTTGATCTTATGCTCCCCATCAAACTTGTAATTATGTAGAGCATCCTTGGCAACTCCGGAGCTGGTCGCATCGGTATATTCGACGAAAGCAATGGTTGCTCTCCCTGGAATGGTACGAACTTCGACCAAATTTGCATACCTAGTCAAAGATCGAGGCATTCAGGTCAGAATATACGTCACCTTACCATCATATCTAAGATATAAGGAGTCCGGAAAACTCTGAAAGCCGACTCAACTGCTTGAATAAAACCTCCAAAGCATCTTTTCCAGCGTTTTCCGGTAAGTTTTGTACAAAGAGAATCTTGTTCGGTGGTTGATACTCGTCTGGCATTTGAACAATCCTCCGACCTGAGTTGGTCGAAGCAGCTGTCGCAGAAGTGGTAGGCGCAACACCTCCAGCAGCGATCGCACTTTCAGCAGCGATCCGAGCTGCCTCTTTCTGAGCAAAAGCTTTCTTTCGCAATGGATTTTCTCGACGAGATCGTTCTAAAGTATGGAAATTAACTGTTGTTAGTAATCAAACGCTACAGGAGACAGGCTTGATACTCACTCTTCTTTGTCAAACGTTCCTCCTTGAATGTATCATATTCATCGGGCGTCTTACGTTTGACCACAGCGTCAGCGGGTGTTCGGGCAAAAGCAATTTCCTAAAGTCGATCAGTCGACGTATCAGTTGAAGACAGTCAAAACATAACTTGAGGTTGCGTAGTATAAGAGTCGCAAGAGCGTACGATAAGGCTTGCCATAGAGCGGGAATCCCTTGACTTCTTTTACAGCTTTGGCAGCCATTTCACGTTCTGGGAACGCAACGAAGGCCTGACCACGCATTCGAACTGATTGATGGGCCACTACATCTAAAACGGGACCGAAGTTCTTCAGGAGGTTTTTCAACGTTTGCTTCAAAACTAGATCGGTAAAGAACGATTTTCTGTCAGAATCTTGCGTCTCCCTCGCTGATTTGCGCATATCATTCGGGCGATGCGTATGAGTAAGACTCACTAGGAATCTTCACTTTCTCATTCAAGTTATTCAGGTACACAGTCTCCGTCGCATCTTCCGGAATAGTATCTCCCAGATCCTCTTCCTTCGTGAGTCCCTCCTTGTTATCCGCCTCTGTTAAGCCTTCAGGGTTCATACCGTTCGTCTTCTCATCAACGTTCGTGTCAGAAGGACCGCTGGTTGGATCGTTCATGATCGTGTCTGTGTCCAATGTTCCTGGAGCTGGGTGACTGGTCCCAAGATTCGAACTTGCCCCTACATTGCTTTCGGAAGCCTGAGCTGAGGTGGTCTGCGCGACTTCCATTGAATCAAAACTGAGCCTGAGGATTGAAGCTGAAGAGCGATGAATAGGTCTTTCGAAGTTCTCATTGAGTCACACCATCAAGGCTTCGCGGTAAGGATAGTCTGTCATGCGCGTGACATGTGATATACTACACATCGCTCACAGACAGTCACAGACAGTCACAGACAGTCACAGACAGTCACAGACAACAAACCCCAAGAGGTGACGCAGAAAAGCACAGAAATCAATCTCGACCGGGAAACATGACATTCTCAAGTCGAGTTTGGAACTTGATCATTCAATTTCATATTCACCACATGATCTTCTTTCAAAACAAATCCTCCAAATGACCTCCAGACACCAAGAAATCCGCAAAAACCAAACAAAATCCCAAAACCAACCAGCATTCAACCGCCCACTGACCTTCAAACAATGCTCCTGAAGAGCTTTGAGACTCAGCCATCACAGATTGCCACCCAAAACAAGATGCTTGAACAGATGCAAAATGAAGCTACTGCCTGAGAGAAAGCTTACAAAGACCTTCTCAACAAATTTCAAGATATAAGTGGGAAGATCAAGAACACAGTCTCATTGAGCCCTGAATCAACCAAGGAGAAAAAGACACCAAGAGCTTCAACAGGCTTGGTCCCAAACAAGGCCCCTATATCTTCCAAGCCTGAAAGATGCAGCCATCCTCCCAACAAGAAGCCACCTCCCCAGTCTTCAAATCCTCAGAGAAAATCAATGGCATCAACATCTTGTATTCAAGCCACCATTCCCCCAAAACCATGCAAACAACATCCTGCCCAGTTAAACAGAACAGAATGGCCCAAAAGATCTGAGCCAACAAAGGCAGGTAGATCTTATTCTAGTTCAACAATAAAGTACCACTGGAATTCCACTCTTTTTCTCTAAGAATTGTTTCTATGTCTCCATTTGAATTATTTGGTGGTTGACATCATTGTCTGCTATACTAAAGCCTCCAAAACATTTTCTCAAATTTAAATCTTGGTTCTCAAGGTCATCTGAAATAGAAGGCATACTCAAAAGCACAACAGCCAAGGATTGTGTAGGTCAATGTGAAGTGAAAGAACCCACAGCTGATTGTGTGAACATTGGTGGTGGTATTGTCAACATTTTTTTGCAATCTATACTCAAGCAATGTTTGATTAGCTTGGTATACATGAATGGTGTCCAGATCTCAACAGCACTAAAGACACTCTCAAAAAATCTGTAAGGGTAGGGTACTCTTTTGGAGTATTACATGCGCACTAAGGGTTGATATTTGTAAGTAAATAGTAATTACAAATTAGAATTAGGAAAAAAAGGAAGAGAGGGCAAAGTACCTGGTCTGTTTGGATTAATCCAGACAGACTGCAGTTAATTGACTCTTACAAAGAGTTTTTAATTAAGATGAAGGGTGGACCCATACACTTCTTTTAGGAAACCACCATTCACCGCCCTGGAACAAAAAACCTGTTGCCCCCTTTTTTGGGGGTAATACCCGTGAATACCTGTGCAGTACCGAGCTTTTTTGCCCTAGCAGAGGCCCCAACGGGCAGTACAGCGGGCAATTTTTGTGGGCAATGTAGCCCACAATTATCAAACCGGGCAGTTTCTTGGTGAATCACCGCCATTCTTATCAAATCCCAATTCACCTCACCCTTTATCTCATACTCAAAGTGGTCTGTTTACTACTAGGCTTCAAGATCAAAAGGATCCAGATCCTGCCCTTCAAACTCCTGATTTAAGTTGATCAAAGTCACCAGATGCCTTTCTTGCCACTCAAACTAAACAAGATCGACCCAACTTATCACCTTCTTGCTCTGTTACGGCTCTTCAAACTGCAAGTCCACCTGTACTTTGCCTTCCAGAGCATTCACTTTCAATAAATCACTCAAAACCAGTACTCATCTCTAGATCCAGTCTGATTGAAACTCTCAAAGCTAGAACATCCAAATCAATAATTGACTCTCATCCCAATCATGCAATCTCAGAATCTTGTGCATCCCCTAATCTAGATACTTTGATTGGAGAATCTGATGTGGTAGAGATCAAGGTGCGCACCATTCAATTTCATCTCAAGTGAATCAAAACTAAACCACTTGATAATCAATGTGGAGGCAGTTTTGAACCCAATCCACAGTGTCATTTTACTAGTCACTGGCAGGCCAGTGAGTTCCATTCACCTCAATCCATCTCAATTTGATGTCAGTTCAATCTCAAATCAATGTCAGTTCAATATCAAATTGACCTCAAAATCAGCTTGAGTGGGGGATATGCATGGGCTGCATATACCTGCAGATCTGCATTGAGCTAGGTCAGTACTACAGCTTAAAATGAAATTTTATCCTCCAAAATCTTCTGGTGGCTTCTTGTTACTTTCTATGTATGGTGTACTGCATTCTGAAAGCTTTACAAAACAGATTATATTGCAAAGAGTGAGTAGTCTAAAGGTTTTACCTTCCTTGCTTGTTTTGATACTTCACAAACAAATGTAATAGCTACTATCAGTCCATTTGATCACAACCCTGGTAATAACTAATCTTTGAATGACGTTTGGTTCATCTTGTCCTGAAGTTAAAGAACCAAGCCATGCTCTTAATTCCTTTTGAGACAGTTTAATTGGCTCCTGACCTCATCTTAGCTTCTGATTTTAACATTCTGCCACAATTCAATAAAGATACATTTGCAATTTGTTCAAAAATTGAAGGTCTAGATGATGTATTGACTAAATTTCAATATAACTTGATAATTTCTTTGCAAAAATTCTTGTACTGAGGTAGATGTAGGCGCTCAACTACAGCAGGTAAAGTAAGCATAAGCTTGGGGTACAGAAATTTTTATTAACCTCTGAAGGATGAAAAGCTTTCCATGAAAAATTCCTTCAGTCTTGATTAATTGAGGTCTCCAATTTGATCCTGTTTGATTTGCATCAACATCTTGGCATGAAATCCCAAGCAACCCATTGTGGTAATCAAATCATTAGATGATTTGAATCAACTCACTACTATTTCATGGCACCTTACATCAACATTATAACCAATATTCCCTTTAACCTTTCCTTCAAACATAAATGTTTTTTGTTTCTTGATCATCTTTCACAACTCAATCTTTCATTTTTGTACATCATTTTCCATTTTTCATATTCAAATGCTTTCTGTGTGATTAAATTTCATTTTAGAACATTAGGGTTCAGTGTTAATTATCCAATTAAACAAACATTACAAGAAAGAAAAATTTGAAGTTTCCAATGACAACAACAAGAACAAGATGCAAGGAAATATAAAAAATAGATGAAATTCATTGATTGATTGATTGATTACCTAACCCTACAAAAGAAAATAAACAAAACAAACTAGTGATTGAGTGGGTTGATCTAATTAAAGCTCACTGGAAACATTCAAATCAAAATTGAATTAAGAAAGAACTGGAAACACATTTAACAACATAAAGGACACTACAGTTAGTAAAGAAAGGAATCACAGAAGAGAAGAATCAGATGACTTACCATTGGAACATTTCATTTGAAAAAGATTGAATTTAGACAAGTCATAAAGAACAAGGAAAAGAAGAATGAAACAAAATCAAAAAAGTAGAAAATAGAAAGATGAATCAACCAATCTAGAAAGCACAAAAGAAATTTAATCAAAATAAAGTGAAGAAAGTAAAAGGAAGGACGAAGTTGATTAATTTTAGGTAGAAGAATCAAAAGAAGAGAAAAAAATTAAAAGAAATACAAAAATAGAAATGACTTACCTTTAGAAATTGAACTCGATTGGTGAAAATAGGAGGTTGAGCCTGAGGTGAATGATGGAAATAAGCCAAAAGATGAGTGTGGGAACTTGAGTGGTATGTATACACTCCCCCACAAGTCGCAACCTGCAGGGGTGTGTAGATACCACTCTAGTGTTAGATTATACACACCTCCACAAGTCGCGACTTGTGGGGGGTGTATATATACCACCCAAGTTCTGGATTTGGGTTTTTGACCAAATTGTATTGATAACCAGGTATTTCCTGAAGAAGTCATTAAAG